TGTATTATGACGTGTGACAAGTGCAAAGACTTTAGCCAATACACATCACCTTAAAAGGTACTTTTATTTTATGTCTCAGCTCTTTTTAGGCCAATTAAAAGAGACAGGCCAATTATCTGGATGCAAGGGCAATCCTTTTTTCTTCCAGACTATGCTTGCCTTTGCTGCTGATGAAAACACATTATCCAGATTAGCTTTCATCTTCTTGTTCAAACTAAATTTTTCACTTTCTGAGGACGGATAATTGCTGCAGAAGGTGACTACTGCTCCCCAAAACGGGCAAAGCCTGCACATGGAAAAAAGAAGAGAGAGAGACCGGAAGTCTTTTGGATGTTTTACATTTACAGTCTGTGAGGTAAAGGGAGACAATCTGCTTTTGCACCTCAGATAAACTCCTAATTGATCACATTCAAATTCTTCAGTTTCCCACACGTTCAGAGCAAGGTGTCGTTTCTGTGTTCCTCCCTGCAATGTGCCACGTTAACACTTACTAGTCTGCTGTCAGTAATGCTGAGATTTCCATCTGCCTACACACTTAGATCAGTGTTGAAAAGAATACTTTTTAAGGAAATACATCATCCTCTATGTCTGCTGTATGCATGAATTTACAGATCTCTAGGGATTAGGACACTCATTTGCGCTTTTGCTACGTTTTTATGTGGGGATTATAGTTTCTTATCTTAGTCCTATATTTATCAATTAGTGGATTATTCATTAAAAAAACATGCAAAATGTTGTGAAAAGATGCAAGAGTGAGATTTTTCTCTGTATGTAAGCAATCTCTATTTGCCCTCCAAGCCAAAAAGCTGACTCACACGGTCCAAGTGTACTTTTCTTATTTCTCATTGATGTATCAGGCATCTTTGAAATATGTGGGCAGAGAATGGGACAAACACGGATCAAATGGACTCTTGATATAGAACAACAACCTTTCTGCGACAGGAATCACATTGCAAGAGCAACCAAACAAAATCTAAGCTCTTCAAGAGACCTTGGAGGCCACCGGGATACAAATTACACTGAATCTAAAAATACCAGATTAAAAATGAGCCCGGGATAAATTATTTAAAAAATGTTTCCATTTTGGAAGGAGTGTGTCTCCTCTATGATTCAACTGAACAACCCTGTTAAAAGGAAAAATCTAAAACAAAACGGATGCAAAGGCCTGGTTGCATCACGTACACAAGCTAAAATTGATAGCTGCCAAAGAATAGTTTTTACTGTTAGGATTTTGTAAACTGAGCCTGTCAGCATCCCATATATTGTCTTGGCAATATGTGCTCACTGTACCTGACACACTTGATCTGAATAAATTCAGCAGCTTTATTCTGTCTGCAGCTTCATTTTGATGAACATCCAGTTCGAGTTATTTTGAATATAAGGCGGGCTCACTGTGATGCTGGGATTTAAATCGCTCTTCATCCTGAGCCCTCTGTCTGACACCTGAAGGCTTTGGGCTGGAAATGACTGTTTATAACTGCATCCCCTTGAGCAAAATCCAAAATCTAAAAAACTAGTAGGCCCATGCCATGAGGCTGCCACTACCGTGTTCTGATGTAAGTCATTTCCCTAACTTGTGGAATAGAATATGGAATAATATGAAATAGTTTTCACCTGTAAAACACAATCCAGTACCAACCAGAATTTTCTACAGCTCCTTTTGTGTTTCCATCAGCCTTTCACCAGCCTCCATGACCAATTTAATCTTCTTCTATCAGACAATCCAGCTTTTTAACTGGCTCTCTTGTTGTATTTTTTTTTCTATTAGTAATGACAATCGTCACCATGCCATATTATGTATGCATGATTCTATTGATGCTTTCGTACACTTCTCCAGTGTAATATATTTGTGCAAGAGCTTTTCTTGATCCTCTACACTTGTGGGGAAGTTCTGCCATCCTAAAAAATGCATGTAAGCAATTTATTTTGAAATATGTGCTTGGTCCAATGCATTTTTGACATGTAAATAGGAAATTCAGAATATTAAAAGCTGAAATGAAATCTAAGGTGCCTCAACAAAGGATTGATTTACTTTGATTTGATCAGTTGAATTGTGCAGCAAACATAAGGAGATTATTTCTTTGGAAATTCAAAAGAAATACTTGCTGTTTATAAAAGGTGTCTATCCCTTTGTCACCCACTGTTATCACAGATCTTTATAAAATGAAATATTACACAGTAAAAATGAAACAGGAATTTGTTTGGATAAAATAATCTCTGTGTATTGAAAAAGAGACGGAAACACATCCAGAACTTGGCTTTGTGGTCTCTTAGCTTGTCAGCTAGTGCAGGCCAGACAGAAATCAGCTATGAAACATTTTGTGGCTTATGAAAGTTTAATGTCAGTGTTAGTGAATATTTCATACCCAGATCTGCAGTTTGATCCTCTTGTCATTCTTATATACGGTCTTAACTTTGAAGTCGATGCCCACTGTGCTGACGAAAGCTGACGTGAAGGCGTCATCAGCATAGCGGAACAAGAAAGATGTCTTCCCCACGCTGCTGTTGCCGATGATGAGCAGCTTGAACATGTAGTCGAAATTTTGGTCTCCTCCTTCTCCTTTCCCCTTGACATCCTGAGTGGCAGCCATCTGCCAAAATCAAAAACAATGGGAATGAAAACTTCCTACATTGCTCTTTTAGAAAATGATTTTCTGGCAAGTCATTAAAATAACAGTAACCAGTTTGTATGCAGTTGCAAGAAAGGAGAGTGGACAATTATAAAATCTACATGTTGGTTGCAGAGTACAGTAAGCTTGTTTTACAGGATACAGATAAAAGATGACAGAAGGCTGCGTCAGGAAAACCAGCATGACCAACACAGCAAGCTGTTGGCTTAATGAGTATTAGATAACAAGCTGAGTTCTTCCCACCATAGAAAATCTCTAAATAAACTAATAAGTCTTTATTTATGTTATTACTAAAAGGCCAACATGTGACTCATAAAATATCACTAGTTTTTCAGAGTACTGGAAATCGGTTATTAAAATTATGTCAATTCTACCCAAGGACATAAACTTCTTCAAAAGGGAACAAATTAAAATATCAGATTCTTGATTTGGACAAATGTCAAGAATTTTTATTGTGAAAGATTTTGGTTTTCAGCAACTTAAAATTTCTATTTTGCAACGGGAAAAGGCCAAATGCAAACTAAGCCTTAACTCTTAGGCAGGGATTGCTATTTAATCTTAGCTGAAATGTGCTAGGGGAAGGTTAAAAATGCCACCTCAATAAAATAGATTTTGACATTTTCATATCCAGCTTAAGTTAGTTTAGCAGTTGTGCTACTGCTAAAGTCTGCTAGCAAGCTGAGTGAATTAATCATGAGAAAGTTTCTTCCAATAAACGACACATCTCAGGTTTTGGAACAATCTGCCTTTTTTGTGAACCAATTCCTACTTTCTATCCTGAAGACAAAACTGATCAGCAAACATTGAAGCAGGATTTAACAAGAGCAGACTTTAGAAGCTGGCAGGCAGTTTACTAATTGATTTTAGCTGTTAAATATGATTAATTTCCAATCTGTGGCAACATAAGCAAAATGACAGAGAGGTTGTTCAGCGGAGAAAACAGCAATGCATTGAACAATGGTCTCTTCTGAAAAAACAAAAACAAAAAAAAACTTTTATTTCTAATATTTTTCAACCAAGAGTAAGACAACTACTTCTGATTATGACTTCACCTTAAAAAAATGGGACCATGCCTTTAAACTCATAAAAAAGGATAAAAATCCAACCCAATCAAATTGAATATGTCGCTTTGATTCTACTTGTTTACAATTGTACACAGAGTACTGAAAGCTCTCACTCTGACATAAGCTTTTCCACGCCAGCAGTCAGCAGTCAGCCACCTCAGAGGATGCACCTTGCACTGGGGGAGATGACTGGAGAGCGGTCATCGCTCCCTCCAAGGTGAATGTTTGGACCGGGCAGTCCAGCTCCCGTCCCTAAACATGTGCGACCGTCTCTCCCTGCAGCCTTTGCGCTAAATAAAAGATGCCGGACCTCCATCATGCCCGTCCTGCACTCGCTTTCTGTTCGACCCCGTGTGTGCGCGCGTGTCTGTGTTTGCAAGGACACCGTTTTCACGCCATAATAAGCCGGTTATGCAAAAAATGATAGTAATTATAATAATCAAGCGCTGCTGAGCAAAGAAGCCGCATGCCAGATAGAACTACATAGACTGGCTGTTCTGAGCAGGAGGACATCATTCTATCGTTTCACAAAAAAAATATTCCACATATGTGAAACTAAAAGGACATTGTGTGGACAAACCTGTTTCGAAGGCCTCGTTTCGACCTGTATTTGCCCCTGATAAGCAGGATAGAGGTTTATTTCTCTGAATCTATACCGCAGACGCTGATTTTACGGTATTTCTCTCCCCCCCTCTCTCTCTCTCTGTCTCCGAACCAGTTTCAGCACCTGGGAGCTGTCCCCTCCGCTTCCGATCTGGAGGCTGCTGCTGCTGCTGCTGATGATGATGGTGGTGGTGATGATGATGCTGGCTCGGCTGAGCGAAAGGAAGCGCGTGTCATGTTATCAGCTACGTCACGGGAACAAAGAACACGGGTCTTGTAGTTTTTTTTGTTTTGTTTTTGTTTTTGTTTTTTTACACAGTTTGGAAAGCGCATGAAGACAGCAGCCCCAGTTTGAATGATTTCAGTTTATCTGAGACACACCCTCTCATTGTAAAAAAAACAAACAAACAAAAAAAAAAAAACCCTGTCTAAAAGTTTTCCAGTTACGTGAATTTAACAACCTTACCTTCCCATACAAGTCCATTTGATCCTCAGTAGCCTAATATTCCACCTGTATGTCTTTTATTTGTTCCCCCCCTCACCCCCCAGTGAACATCAACTCCAACATGGACAGGATTTTTTTTTCCCTCCCCTTTTTTTTCCAGGAAGCAAAACATAATAGGCCCTCGCTGTTTGCGTCACTCAGCCCGTTTCGCTGGCGTGCCCACGCCCCTGAAGCAGTCAGCGCCGCTTCAGAGGGACAGAGAAAATAAGAGCGACCTGAGTGCTGATGAATATTAATATTTTGGGTTTTTACAATGGAGGCAGGAGGAAGAGCTTCCGAGACAAATGAATGTCCATGTTTTGCAATTAAAATGAGACTTCAGGATTTCGTATGTAGATTAGAAAACGGGAATAGAAAATCGATGCTGTATTTTGATAACATATTAAATGCTGTTTAATATGGGGAGATGACATGTTAGACGTCTGCGCGCTAATGCACAGACATTAAAGTACAGATTTACAATACGTGGACTTTAATGATCCTAAGAGTCACAGCACATCAGATATTACGTAACTGCAGGCCAGGGATTAAATATACACTTCATCTTGCCAGGCAGAGAGTCTCCGTTCCTTGGCAGGCAGCTGATAGGACCTGTTAGTTTGTCACAGGGCGGGATTATCATGACTGACTGGCCTTTGCTCGACCCGTGTGCAGCAGAAAGAGGGGCGGAGCAGGTAGGCAGCTCAGACATGTGTGCTCGCAATTTCATGCATTTTATGCTGTGTTTTACAAAGATCTCCTTACTTTGAAGAGTGCTTCTGTGTGCGTTCAGCACCGCTTTTGCATGTAGCATTTCGTTGGCATGTTCCGCATCGGTCGGCTCCGTCTGGCGAGTTCTTATCCTGAACGTTTCACTTTGTTTACAAGCGACTTCTGCGAAAATCCCACCTTGTAGCTCTATTTTTTTCACCAAGAGGGAACATATATGCGAGGATAAGAGTCGATGTTTTATTTTTATTTATTTATGTTTAATCCAACGCGTTTAAGCCAAACTTTTCTAGAAGGTTTCAGGGAGAACCAAAGGTCGCTGTAGCTCCATCTGCTGATGGCGACTGCTCTGCGCGTTGTTCTCTGTGGACAAGCCAATGAAACAAAAATGAACAGTAGATGCAGTTCATTATCATTCTTTTCTTTGGAATTGATTTATTTTTTATTTTATTTTATTGCAATAAGTCACATTAAAATCAAAGCATTCAAAGTGTATTGTTTATGTGACAGGAGTTGAAACTGTAGAGGTAAATCTTAAAAACGATGGTGTGCATGGTGTGCATTTGTACCCCCTTTCTCCTATCACTCAGTAAAATGCCATTCATTGTACTCAGTGAAACTTTATTTACTCTATTTTTGGAGTAAATAGAATTTTGGGATGTGTAATTTATCCACAGTGTGAATACAGAGGTCTGTTAGAGAACATCACAGAACTGAAAGTATCAAGAAGACTAACGAAGGCACCGGGAAGGGGGGGGGCAGCGTTGTGGAAAATGTTTAAAGCAGGACAAGATTATGAAAAGTAAAGCAATAAAGCATTCACGTTATTTGACAGCATCAACATTGGGTTCATGCTATTGTTGCTTTGCTCTAAAGCTTGCAGAACCTTACGCAACAATGGCAGCATCTGCCTATCATGTACTGTTGAGAGCCTTGTTTGTATGTTATTCAGCACTTCCCTTATATTGACAAGACTTTTTTGGGCCTGCAGGAGTAAGCTTTTCAATGAAATTTCTTCTCTTCAGAAATGTTCAATAGGATCTGGGTCAACCCTCAATTGCAGCCAATTTGAGATAACACGCTTCCCTTTTTCCACTCATTCTGCCCCGGATGTTTGTTGCAGCTTATTGTCCTTACAAGAACTAAGTCTGTTACCTCACATTGGGAAAAAAATAGCAAGGTGTAACACCTTTTATTCAATGTTACCCCAGTTATTTTGAAATCTCAAATTTTCTTTGAATTCAATGGCTTCTTTCCCAGAGCCAGTAAGACAGGCTTACGCTGTCCTAGTAGGTTTATGTTTTTTAAAATGTGTTTTAAAAAGCCTGGTCACACATTTTTCCAACTAAAAAATGTAAATAAATGCATGATTTAATCAAATATATAAAATTTGGATGAGTTTGGACATCCAATATATTTGCCATATTGTGAATTCCATGTCGAAAGCTCTTGCTGCTATGTCTGGGTGGGAATCTTATGTGTTTAATTTCATCTTCCTACATTTCTGATTAACCACACAAAACATTTTCTAATCACATCAATAAGCTCTAGGATTGTATTAAGTTGCTGAAAATCCTTCCTGTTACTTTTTGTGTCAAAGTTCCTGTTTTAAAAAAAAAAAAAGAAAGTGCAGATAACCATCATCTTTGAAAATATTATTTATTTCGCTAATTTAATCAAAACAAAGAAGTCAAAGCCTTTTTGGTTACTGTTATTCTTATAAAACTCTATTGTTGTTATAAGTCTTTAAATATAGAAGACATTTTTGTTTATTTTCTGTACAGGTGTTCACACAGTTTTTACAATGGAGGACTCAATCGAGCTGATCATTCAGGACTACTGTGGGGTCTTTCCCACCAGCAGATCCCATCCCATCGTGTCGGCCTGTACAGGCGCCGTCCTCACAGGTCTTTATGGATTATGGAGTGTTTTCACTGTGCCTGGCTTCCGTAAAATCCCCTGGCATCTTAAGGTACAAAATGGCGCTTCTTTTTTTTTTTTTCTTTTGCCTGGTGTTTTTTTCCCCTTCAATCTATTAAACATGCATGCTTGAAATAATAATTTAACAAACAAGTTAAAGAGACACACACTTTGACTTGTTGATTAACAATAATCTGCTTATGTTGGAGCATAGTGCTCCATGCCAGCATCAAATGTGGGAAAAGAAAAAAAACGGTAAGTCTGTACACTGTAATTATTAATTTTGTTATTGGTAATTGCACCACCAACCAAATAAGTTAATCTGTAATTTATTTATGGCTTCTATTTTCAAAGTTAAATGTTATAACATTTTAAAATTTTTCACTATCCAATGCTCACTTGATTTTTACGTTAGCAGGTATCCTGCCGACAGAATTTGCACGTCTACCTTTACACTCAGATGACCTTGATGGACATCATATTCTCAGTCCATAGGGTTCAATATAATTTTGACTCACACTTTTGCAGCTTTATTTCTTCTAGGAAGTCTTTCAACATGTTTTAGAAATGTGAGGTCAGACACTCGTGATGATGAGCTTTATGATTTTAAGTGACCTTGTTACTTCTCACTACGTTGGGGTTTTCAATCACTTCGACTTTGTCATATTACCATAGTATTTAGTAGATTTAGCAGTGAGGAATTCAGTGATGACCCGTTCTTTAACCAATCTTTGTAATTGCATAAGTTCACTCAAGCTTTTTAAGATTCTGACCGGGCAACGATGGGCCCACAACCACTTGCTCTACCATTATGAGCCGGTGCCACCCTTCTTTTGAAAATATAGAGTAAGAGTAAAATCAAGACAAACAAAAAGAGAAGTGGATTTTTACCAGTCACAGATTAAACTGAGTTTGCCAAGTAAAAATGAAAGAGAATTCATCTGAATATTTGCTATGTGGGTCAGGTTCCATATTTGCCCTCCAGTAAAGACCAAGCACACAACGTTATGAACCTGCTCCAGGGGAGAAGAGGGCGCTTAGCAGATCTTGGAGCTGGAGATGGAAGATTGGTGAGTGGAGAGGGGCTCTCTGAAACAAGTTTATCAAAATCTGGAATGGCAACAGAATAGGCACTTTCCTTGTTGCCTTGTTTGTTGTGGTTTTTCCAGGTATTTGCAGCCTCTTCTGCTGGTTTTCAGTGCACAGGGTTTGAGATCAACTCAATTCTAGTGGCTTATGCAAGGAGCAAAGCCTATTGGAGAAGAATCCCCTCCAGCCAAGTAACCTTTGTTAAGAAGGACTTCTGGAAGGTAAGGCTTGGACAAAAACAATCTTCTCATGCCTTTCAAAAATATCCATCAAAATACCTGAGAAACAGTTAAGAGGCCAATGGTAGCTCTGGAGGAGCCGCAGAGATCCACAGCTAGTGTATTTGCTGACAGGACAACTGTTAGGCCCTAGATAAATTGAGTCTCTATGAAGGATTACTGAAAAATACTTATTGCTGATGGAGAGCAGCAAGAAGTCATATTGAAAGTTTGTTCACATCTCCTGGAGAAGACCCAACAAGCATGTGAAAGAAGGTGTTTTGGTCAAAGATCAAACTACATCTTTTTTTGTACTTGCAATAAACTTAATAGAGGAAAATTATCACCACACATCACCCTGAACATACTGGCCTCCACTGTGAAAGATGGTGTTTCAGTATCAAGAGTGAAACACCAGCTTGGATGTTTTACTCTTCTTGTTGCTTTTACAACTCAATTGTGATTTTGACTGTAATCACAGCATGGAGTTTGTGTGGACAGGTCTTGGGTCTTTGGCAAACACTATTGTAGATAAATTGACTCATGTGCACCAATCAACATTTTCCTTTTATTTTAAATTATGCCCAAATTTGATTTGGTCTGTTCAAATAAAATACACTGTGGTTGTAATATTCCTAAATGTGAAAAAGGAATCCAGAAAGTCACAATATGTGATCAAAGTCCTAAGTGTTTTAATCTTTTGTCTTAGACCGATTTGTCTTCGTACAACAATGTGACCGTTTTCCTTGCTCCAGGAGTGGTAAGACATTTCTCTTTTGAAAACCTTCTCCTTACTTCAATTTTGCCACTATATCGTTGTACTGTTATTGTATTTGTATGACTGTTAACAGATGGAGGTGCTGGGAGAGAAGCTGCTGAAGGAGCTTCCTCAAGATGCGCTGGTCATTTCTTGCCGTTTTCCTTTCCCTAACTGGCCCCAAAAATCAGCTGTCGGCTCTGGACTTGACCAGACGTTTGCTTATGAGATCAGCTCTGTGCGCTCACATTTGAGAAATCCACCAAAGAAATGAGTTGGATGCTGTGGCCGATACTGCACTAAATCACCCTTAATTCTGATAATCATCCTTGATTTAGTGCATTGTTTTTGGGGGGAGGGGAGGTTTATGAAGAATGCTGAATATTATGATTTATTTGTTGTTCAGTATTTCATAAAACATTTTAATCTATTTTAAGTTAGCTGTTTGGGGTTCCTCTTCCGTAATTTCTGGGGGAAAGTACAGAGGGGAATCTGTGCTTTCTGATTGGCTACCTGTCACATTCCACAAGGCTACCAGTCAGGGAAAACCCCACAAGCTGCGATAATCAGCCAAGACAATTCAATATGTTGAATATGTCCGCTTTAGATGGGAGAGGTCCCGACATTCTACTGACTGGACCCGATCAGTCGTAACACACAACACACTGCAGGGTGATCGGTTACGATTATCGCAAGTGACAATCTTAGAATGCAAAACGTTCTAAGATTGTCATGAGGAAATTGAGGCAAAAAACCTTGGACAGGTCTTTACTTTGTTGATAATTGGTAAATATCTGGAAAGATCTTTTTTTACATTGGAGAACACTTATAACCTAATTGAAAATGATACATTTTGCACAGGCAACACTGATTATCTATGCAGCACACTGTCTGAATATTAATAAAGCAAGTTCTTAAATGTCAATATGGCTCGACTTTGTTCTACCTCTAAGGCTATCAGAAGGCATTTGTAATTGCCTTATTTCACTAAATGTCAAGAAAGTGAATTTCAAGGCGTTGGACATTTTTCTGTGAATTGTGTTAACTGTGGAAGCGGGGTCTGTTGGAGTCAAATCATGGACTCCACTCCCCTAAAGCTGTGCTAACATATTAGCAGCAGATCCTTCAAGTCTTGTATATTTCAAGGTGAGGCCTCCATGACTCTCACTTGTTTGCCAAGCACATCCCATAGATTCCTCACCAAGATCTTGGGAGAATAGTAAGGCTACTATCTTAACCATGTGTTCCTCAAACTATTCCTGAACCATTTTATCTTACTGGAAGAGGCTTCATCCATCAAGACATATTGTTCCTTTGAAATGGTTTATAGTCTGCCACTGGGCTACAGGGAATTTGGTATCTGTCAAACTATCATGTATGTGGATGGTAGGATACTGGGTATCCCAGCAGACCATTACCCAAATCAAAATGCCCGTGGCTTATCTTCTTCCCAGACTTGCGCATATTTCATATATAAATATCCAAAACTGTAGATCTGAAGAGGTGCTTACAGTGGTCTTCATCTATCAAAAGCGGTCTAAGAAAGAAACAATCTTGATCCATCAGACAACTGTTACAGAGATTGTGTGAATTCTGACAGGATATATTCATGTAGTTTGTTGCTTGGATTCATTTTGAAGACAACAGGTTCTCTAGCTACTTAATATATCCCACCAGACAGAGAGAGCCATGCACTTCACCTGTTAGTGGTCATACATCTAATATGTGTATTATGCTGACACATTTTTTCCGACCTCACTCAAAAATATCCACCTGAGGGCGCTATAGCTCTAAACTGGCCTCGGTACCCCACAGCCTAAAACCAGGCTGTTCGGAATGCAGATTGGTTTTGACGTGTGCCATGCAGACATTTTGGATTAGACACACGGATTAGATGTCCTTTTTTATTTTACCATAATGATTCTAACATTTTCACTTTACCGTTTCCGTGAACAGATCGGTTTTAAAATATTTTTTTTCATTGATCGGTGTGTATGTGTGTGCATGAATGCGTGAACGCAGTGAGAAGCGCTTTGGGGTCCTCTGGACTTGATAAATCGCAATGTAAATAAAATAAAAGCCATTTCCCATTTTTCCACTGCTCATAAATAATTGGGGTTATGATGTAGCAATTAAAATAAATAAATCAAATCACTATTTTATTACATTGGTATTTTACATCTGTGTCACTATCAACGGCCAGTCTCTGTGTGTCTGGTAGGTAATCGATAAAAGTCAGACCTCCTGCTCCCGTTTCCTACAATGACGTTAGAGATGGAGAGAGAGTGCGTGTGCGTGTGTGTGTGTGCGTGTGTGTGTGTGAGTGAGACAGAGAGAGAGAAGGAGTTGGGTAGGTGAGGGAGGAGGAGGAGGGAAGCTGGGAGAGCACAAGGAGGGAGGGAGAGCGGGTATAAAAGCTTACAGATCGCCTCTCCGAGATGCATTCTGTATGCGGGAAGAGAATCAGTCCTCCAATGGAAGTACATAAAAGCACCGTCCTCCAACAGACCAACAGCAGCAGCATGTGCGAATCGACGCAGAGGTCCTGCGAGCCTCGGCGGAAGAGAACGGAGGAGCGCAGCGCTCCGTCAGAGATGGCGAGGATCATCACCGACCCGGCCACGGGGAAGTGCTACTGCCGGGGGAAAGTTTTGGGAAAGGTAGCGCACAGCTCGGCATCTGCCCTCGGCTCGCTGGAATTTACGTCTCATCCCGACGGCACGGCGTTTTAACAATGCTGTTTCCCCTCTTTCATCCAGGGAGGATTTGCTAAATGTTATGAGATGACAGACCTCTCCACCGGCAAAGTTTACGCAGCAAAGATTATCCCACATGCGCGCGTCTCCAAGCCTCACCAGCGGGAGAAGGTAAGCGCGCTGCTGCGGTGTCTGTGCGCACCCACGGGCATGTTGTTACTCAAAAGTCTTTGGTTACAGACTTGACGGTGTTGTCCTTTCTCTGTGTGCAGATCGACCGAGAAATTGAGCTGCACAGAGTTCTGCACCACAAAAATATCGTGCATTTTTACCACCATTTTGAAGACAAAGAGAACATCTACATCTTGCTAGAATACTGCAGTCGAAAAGTGAGTGCAATTATAAGAAAGATAAAGAAGACATTGCATAGAAAGGAAATATATTACCAGTTTTATGTATTTTATTGCATAATATAATAACCTTTGACTTTTTAATGAAGCTCACAGAGTTGCATTTAGGATGGAGCATGTCTTAAAGTAGGTGTATATATCTAAATATTTGCTATTTTGTCTTTCCATAGTCCCTGGCACACATTCTGAAGGCGCGCAAAGTGCTTACCGAGCCAGAAGTGCGGTATTACCTGAGACAGATTGTTTCTGGACTAAAGTATCTGCATGAACAAGAAATTCTTCACAGGGACCTTAAACTGGGTAAGAAATTTTTATCCACAAAAGTTATGCAACAAATTTTTTTTCTTTGCAAATCTGTACATGTATGTGTGATTTATTATAACCAAACATCTTTTCTCTTCAAATCCATAGTAATTGTGTAGTACCATGCCTTTGATCTTTGGTTGGTTTAGCAAGTGTTCATGTTATTACTGTCTTTCTTCCCCCAAAGGGAACTTTTTTGTTAGTGAGACGATGGAACTGAAGGTCGGAGACTTTGGTCTCGCTGCCAAGTTGGAGCCGGCGGGAAACAGGAGGAAGACGATCTGCGGGACTCCAAACTACTTGTCCCCTGAGGTCCTCAACAAGCAGGGTCATGGCTGTGAATCAGATGTCTGGGCTCTGGGCTGTGTAATGTGAGTTGGGTTCCTATTATTCCACCTTTAGGGACTGCAAAAAGCTTCAGTAAATTTTGTCATAATCATAAATTACAAGTGAATACCGCTTGAAGATAGAAGATATGTTTTCTAAACCGTATACTCTTGCATTCTATTTCAGGTACACTATGCTGTTGGGCCGACCTCCATTTGAAACCACCAACCTGAAGGAAACCTACCGGTGTATAAGAGAAGCACGGTACTCGCTCCCTTCCTCGTTGTCACCGCAGGCAAAGCAGCTCATTGCCAATCTGCTGGCCAAGATACCAGAGGATAGACCCAATCTAGACCATATTCTGAGGCACGACTTCTTCACCCAGGTTAGACCTCTGTTCGGTTTGTTCTGGCTTTCCGTCTGCAAATGTCAGATAGTGGGAGTTCAGAGATGACCCTTCTGGCCCTGTAATTATCTGTCCACACACTGACCCACTTTCCCCATTTCTCCACAGGGCTTCAGTCCAGAGCGTCTGTCGCCTAGCTGCTGCCATTCACCACCAGACTTCCACGTCTCCAGTCCTGCAAAGAGCTTCTTTAAGAAAGCTGCTGCTGCACTGTTCGGTGGGAAGAGAGATAAGGTCAAATACTACGAGACCCTCAGTGAGTATAATAATAATAAAAACTACTGAGTTGACTCAGATGATGGCTGCATGCAACCTTAAAAGAGTCAGTTTGTGCAGCTTCGAGGATTTATGTTTGTTGTTCTCTTGCAGACAAATTAACTAAGGAGGAGGAGGAGATCTACAAACTGCAGCACGACTTGGAGAGGACGGTCATCAGTCAACAGCAGAGCAAGAAGATGTCTGAGGTAAGAAAGCAACAGCCCGATATTTACAAGGGCGTGGGTAGGCTACTTTTGCAGGTGCATTAGTCACTCAGCAGTTAAAACTTGTGTGGATTTGAGATACCCTGCTGTGGAGAATCCAATGAATCACCCTTTGTAGTTGCAGCAAAACTTTCTAACAAGCACAGTTTCTGAACTAGCTGAAAGCACTTTAATCTCAACCTTTAAAGACAGGCACTTTGAAATCTGTGGGTGACTACTGAGTCATAGTAGGAAGAGATGATCTAAACTTGCAGAATCTAAGCCTCGTCGTCATTCGTTCCCACCTCAGAATGAAAGTCTACTTCCGCCATCTGCCGGGAGCCCCGTTGCCTTGGCAACAGAGAGTCAGTCGCCAGCAACGCAAGACACCATTCGTCTGATTGTCAGGGGGAGTCTGGGCAGCTGTAGCAGCAGCAGTGAATGTAAGTTACATCATGAGTGAAAAGATTATGTGTGATAAATCTTGAGTGGATGTGTTTCTTTATTTCTTTTACCTCTGCTCCATGTAAACGGTTCTCTGTCTTTGTTTCCAAAGGTCTTGAAGACAACACAACAGGGAGCGTGGCTGAGACCGTTGCCAGTGTGTTAAGAGGATGCCTAGAAAATATGCCTAAAGGTGAGTAAAATTGAAACTTATGTCCTTTAGCTTTGCCCTGTCATGCTTGAGACTTGCCCAAGAACTTCCATCTACTTGTTTTCTGATCCTGACTTTTCTTCTCTCCTTGCAGCAAATGACACTCCTCAGACGTTAAACAGCTGCAGTCTTCAGTGGGTGACCAAATGGGTGGACTACTCCAATAAGTACGGCTTCGGCTACCAGTTGTCTGATCACACCGTTGGCGTTCTCTTCAACAATGGCACCCACATGAGCCTCCTGCCTGATAGAAAGTATGCAGTAGTCTATGCTATCATAACACTTATACTTTGTTGTTAAAGCTGTTGGCTTAGTGGTACAGTCAGGTTTACAGAGAGAAAGAGGAGTTACCCTAAGATTGTGTTAGTTTTGGCATATTCAGCTCCTGTTTTCACAAAAATTGTTCCCAAAAGTCAAAATGTGCTACATGTTTTTGTTGGTTTTACAAATTGGATGTGTAACACCCGGTTTTCTCTTCCTTCTCAGGACCATTCATTACTATGCAGAGTTAGGCCAGCGCTCTGTCTTTCCCACTTGCGAGGTTCCTGAGCATTTTGTGGGCCAAGTGACTGTGCTGAAGTACTTTTCCCACTACATGGAGGAAAACCTCATGGATGTAAGTGGAAATACCAGTCCCTCAAGCTAAACTGTATCTCTCTTGCTGTTATTTTTTTCTCCTCGATTCTCCACACCCTAGAACATTAGAAATGTTCAAGTTGCAGCCTGTCTAATCCCAAGGTATTTGTCTTTTTGCTTTCTCAGGGTGGGGACCTTGGTACTACAACAGATTCACACATGCCCCGTCTCTACCTGCTGCAGTGGCTCAAGTCAGACCGCGCCCTCATGATGCTCTTTAACGATGGCACTTTCCAGGTAAACACACCCACAGTTGCAGAAAACACAGTTGTTACTGGGCATGTTCAGAGGAACTGTTTGAGTGCAAGCCATGACGATTTCTCTCCACTGAATTGCACATCAGATATAGATAAAAGGTAAAATATTTAAATTTGTTTCTGTTTATTTTTCCCTCCAAAGGTTAACTTTTACCATGATCACACCAAGATCATCCTTTGCTGCCAGAGGGATGAGTACATGCTGACGTACATCAACGAGGAACGAGTCTCTAAAACGTTCAAGCTCAGCTCCCTGCTGACGTCTGGCTGCCCCAGCGACCTGCGGCAGCGCTTGGTGTACTCCCTCAATATGCTCCTTCAGAGATGCAGCTAAACCCACAGAAATTGCTTTGGACTGAAAAACTGAAAATTCCACCCACTGTGTCACTGCAGTGCTGCAGAGGAACAGGAAACCTGCGAGAGAACGGGGGAATTTTCAGCGTTGGACTTGAGCAAAATATATAAACATTCCTGCACCGTTTCACTGTCATGACTCAGCGTTGGTGCAGGTGAAAGTGTAATGGAGAGAGAGACTGTAAGACCCTGGGAAAACGAAATGTAGCACAATGAATGTTGATGGGAAACAAAGGGCTGATTTGTACTGTTGGAAAAGAGAGAGAGGACCGTGGACGTTGGTACGAATGTGAACCCCACATGTTGAGCTTTCAGGCTCCTAAGCTGGGCTGGCACCAGCTTAGGTGTTTAGGAGAAGTTGGTTTGATTCCAGAAGCATAAAACGAAGCTCTGATCTTTAAACTGAGCTTGACTGCAAGATACTGTAAATGATGTACAGTGTATGTCCAAGCCATCTCAGCTGTGGAAAGAAATGACTGGTGTGGATGTTGAAGGGTTTAAATGAGTACATGTTTGTCTGAGGAGGGAGGGGTGTAACATTACGCTACCTTTTAAAAAACTGTGATTTGTTTCTTATTGTCTTTATTTGACAGATGGTCTCAGCACTCTGAACGAGAGGTTATGTAGAATGACATTATACCAGGTCTTTTTAGAACCATTTAAGAGCCATTATCACCTAGGTAACAATGTCTTAAATAACTTATTGTGTAATAAAGTGCAGTATTTATTTATTTAATAAATAAGTGATTTCTAAAAAAAAAAAAAAGTTGATTATTCTTTTCATTTGTGCTTTTCTGTACTAATTGTCATGAACAAAAACACTTGGAAGGCATTGAGGTTTATTGAATACCTTCCAAGGTATGAACTCTTAATTGAAGAGATTTTAGAGAAGGGTTCTGATAGGATCTTATAATGTGGGTCGTTAACATCTGACCTCCAGTAGATTACTCTGCTTGAATACAGTAATCTCAGACTTAAGGTAAATGCTACTCCTAGACAGACCCAAATGAATATGAATTCAAATGGTATTTTATGAACATTTGATCTGTGAATATGTTTGGAAAAGTTGGGAATTGACCAAGAAGCCAATGATTATTTGCACAGAAAATGGAGATAGGCAGCGACGCACCATTCTTCCTGTGTGAAGCAAATACTGAGAACAAAACATGCAAAGCAATAAAAGAAACATATAAAAGGATGGCAATTTAACATTTCACATATTTTATAAATTTTAGAGTGTCTTACGTTTTTATTCTGTTTTTAGTATAGTTCAAATAAGACATCACTGGTTGCGCTCAACCTCCGACCTCCATTTCTCTTATAAATAATCAGAAGCTTTAGTCTCATTGAATAATTTCTTAAGGCTTCATAAAATTACATACGCATAAGTAACTACTGAAGTTTTTTGTAAAATTGTAGAAGTACAAAGTAATGTCTCTCTTGGGAGACATTAGCTTTACCCTCCAGCATCAACTGATTTGGATTTGTATTAAGACACTGTCAACAATAACAGGGATGTTTGCAAAATACTTTTTTCTGCATTGCTTTCCATTTGTGGTGACAGAAAATAATGTTTGCTACATTGTTAAATGGTTAGAATTTTTATGCTGGACTGTTGCTTATCTATTACCTTTTCAAAAATAGTATAGCTGAAGCTTATATATAGATGCAAGAAAAGGTAAATCATACAGGTAAGATAATAACTACTCAAACCTCTCAAAATAATCTCAATTGAACTAAGCTTATAGTCTGTTTGATTAAATTTTAATACTCAGCGCTCTAAGCCATACGCTGGTCTGGGTACTTTATCTTGCAATTATGACAGGAAATGGTAGAGTGATGGATAGATGAGAAAACTTGTTTGCAGGGAAGTAGTTTATACTGCAGTTCAAGGCTCTCTCTTCCTTAAGCTTAGCCTTCTTTTGCAGCAGTAAATAATAGATAGCAAAACTGGATGTCTGTGCAATGTCGCTGACCTTGTGCCACAAACACGCACACAGGAGGTCATTATTTCTCATACAAACAGGCGCACTGATCAGCAGATACGTGGGCAGGGCGGCTGGCTCAGAAATGTGGAAAGAAAAGCCTGCTGAACACAGACACACTATCACAGTGACAGACTTTGCCAAACTATGTCACTGATTACATCATAGCATTTCAGGGTAAGTCACTACACTCATTCTTGAACATCTTTTCGCCTTCACTCTCCGTGGCCATGGAAACAAGCAACCCGCTGATCAATGTGATGAGAGCTTGAAATTAACAAACCCTGCGTAAAGAATGTGTGGCGCTGCTTCTCTTTGCTGATCCCTTGCTCTGAAAATCACAGCCACTGGCCGCTTACCTGCTTGAATAGGAATCACCCTTCATCCCCAGCCAGAGTTTGATTCTCCCGTCTGTTGACGAACACCTCACCACCTCTTTCATGCTTATGTAATGGTGGAAGTTGAAGATGGATGTTTGAGTCATCCCCTATCTTTAGTTGTTCACTCAGAAAATATCTGTGTACTTCAGAGTTCGATTATGAATATCTCATGCATAAACATACCCACACAGAAAAGAAACAAGAGCAGGAAGTAGCCTACAGGAGCAGCGATTGGGAATTATTCATGACAACACCTCTAGGTCTGTGTGCATGTGTGTGTGTGTGTGTGTGTGTGTGTGTGTGTGTGTGTGTGTGTGTGTGTGTGTGGGTGTGGGGGTGTGTGTGTGTGTGTGTGTGTGTGGGTTCAGACAGTAATGACCCCTGGAATGGCTGCTTCTGCCTAAAAGGAACAGACGCTGCTGCTGATGATGGGAAGTTTTCAGTTCTTCAAGGACATCTTTACGACTGGATAGAAGTGCAGCGTCTTCATCGCATGGATGCAATGGACCTTACCAAGCTCCGCCCACAACTGACCTAAAAAATCCCACGTGGCCTCAAGGCTCATAACAAAGCTTTGTTTCTATGTAAACATGGGGTCTTCCACTTAGACTGATTTCTGAGTCGATTAGTGCATCATTTCTGTCGGATTTTCAGCAAATATCAGCTACAACAATGGACAGAGGAACTAACAAGTTGATGTCATCTTTTTTGGATGTCATTAAGGAGTTTGAGTCTCGTGATGCCTCCAACATTATGCACGTCACAGCAAAATGCTTTTGGTCGATGAGGAAAACGGCAGTGATTAACCTCACCATCAATATAGCTGTGGACAAAATCACTGATGCCTATTGTTCTTGCAACAATACAGGTAAGATAATAAGGCTGGATAAGTCAGGCATTCATCGTTTTGTAGGTTACTTTTGACATCAGTGGGTGATTCCTGTTGTTTGTTGGCAAATGTTTGAGTGTGCCTTGACCTGATGCACTGTAGTCGCAATGTAGTCTGGCGCTGCATTAGCATGTGTTTACTATTGCATGTTCATTAGCTTGCGTTTGTGAGAGGGCCACGCACGTGTTAGCCTCACTGCTACGTAGAATGGGTATCAGCCAATGAAACGCGGGCCCTGTGGTAAGGTCCATAATAGCCACTTCTGAGGAGGCAGATCTGAAAATGGTTCTTGCCCTCAGGCTTTTAGAGTGAGAACTCTATAGTTGAATATAGATTCTGCTTTTATACACACATTCAGAAATTCAGGTCACATCCTGAGCTGGACAGTGAATGTTTGCTGATCATCTTGTCTGGTCACATAGGAGTCTGCTTGTGTCAAAATAATTTAATAAATGGGAATAGCTTTTGATGTTTGGCATCTTATGGAGCTGTAGTTCTCAAACTTTTGCTAACAATACCACCTCACTTAAACAGCTTGATATATGGTTTACAACAGCAACATGATAGGAACTACATTTTGGCCAGTTTCCAAAGCAATAGAAAAACCTATTATGGCTATATTCCTTTGGAAGTTAGATTACCATGACTCAGTTGCTATTTAAAGTTTTGTACATTTTGTCCTATTACAAACACAAACTGCCATGTTGTTATTTGAGATTTTATGTGATAGACACAGCATAGTTCCAATTGTGAAGAAACCACAACATGATTTTCCAAATGTTTTACAAGTAAAAATACAAAATGTATTGCTTATATTTGACTCAGTCTCCCCACCATCCACTGGCTCACCCTCAGGCAATACTTTGTAGATCCACCTTTCATCACCATAACATCTGCAAGGTCGCTTGTTCCCGCTTCACGCATCTAGAGAGTGAAACCTCTATATGCGTGCAGATTCCTGTTTGCAAATCGACTCTGACCAGCTTATCAATGCCTGCAGAGGACGGACGGACGGACGGACAGACAGACAGATAGATAGATAGAACTGACATATTTTCATTTATAATAAGAATAGTTTGATGTCATTTCAAATTGTAAGTTGACAGCAACTTCTCTTTTTAGCTTTCAGTTATTTTAATCCTACATTTATTGTTTTATATGCCTTGCTAATATTTTATGTTTAACAGTTCTTCTGTGCACCCCTAAAGGTGATACTTCTCATGGAGCTTGAGAAGCACTACTGTGGTTCAATCTCCCATTAAAATTTTAGCAAAATATGGTCATTTTCTGTTTCAAAACCCACAAAGCTGTTGCTTCAAAATGTTATATAATGTAAGGATTTGGTTGTTTTTGTGTTTACTTAGGTTTCTGTGTTTTGTAGAGTCTCTGTGTTGTCTTGAGTAGTAACACCTGTTCCTTATTGCTCCTGATTGTCTCCCTGTGTATTTAATCCCACCTGTGTCCCTTGCTACTCATCTGATCCTTGTCTTATCCGTCTTGCTGTCAAGCTGTCTTGTCTAGTCTGTTGTCGGATGTCTTTTGGTTGCCAGTTGCTACCAGTTTTGAGCTTTAGCCTTCTGCTCATTCTGTGCTGCCTGGATTTCTGACATCAATTCTTCATTAAATCATCATCTCCTTCACACCAACCTGCATCTGCCTCACCACCTCTACCACAAATCGTGATATATTGACATTGTGAAAGGTTTTGCTCCACCAAGCAGGCTTTGTCGTGAAATGTGTTTCTTTATTGCTAAAGCTCTATAAGAAAGTTCTCTGCGGGCAAAACAATGAGTCAGTTTGGTATCACAAAGAGAATTTAGTTGAGTTTTGAAAGGGAAAAAAGGCTTTGAAGCACACACATACTGGGATGTACTTGGGGAATTTGAAGGCCTTTGCATATCAAATGTCAGCACTCCTACTCTGTGGACTGAAACAGAAAAAGTGCTGGAATGAGTGCAACTTAGTCCTCTATTCCATCAGTAGCCTATTGACTGGAGAGATCAGAACTTGCAATTCTCACAATATTACCTAGGGCCAAAATGTTCTTGTTCATAAAAAAAATATGTTTATCAAGTGTCTAAATAAGATTGTGGATATTTGAGTGTATTTCCAGAATATCATCTTTGGTTTCTCTCCAGGTGTTAAGTGATATTTAGAGTTGCCAATGAGTCATCGGGTAAGACGCGGTGGATACTTTGTGTGATGCTCATGCTCTGATTCCTGCAATTTCCGACAATCAGCCTTCTGAAGAGATCTTTTCTGACCAACTAAAAATAGAAGCTTGCATTTTACAAAAATAGCCTTGGGTTCAGCTGTGGATCAAAGAATTGTGCCAAATTTATCTTATTATACCTCAGTGGGAAAGGAGCAAGGACTGATTCCAAATGAAACACCCTCTCAAACACCTTCATGTAAATTTGACACCATTTCCATTCCCTTCCTATGAACTTTTGGAGATTTGATACCCCTTCCTTCTTTTTACTTTTCTAAATTTTTTAAAAGAAGTCTTCATC